TCTAGATCCTGTGCTACTGGTTCGGGTGAGGAGAGACATAGACTGTCTTGAGCATCCAAGGAGCTTCGTCCCCGTGAGAAATGCAAAGAGATAAGTGTTGATTGAAGGCCAAAACAAGGGTTGTGGAGAATTTCTTGTTGTCCCAGAATACCCAAATGCATGCTTTCTTTCCATCCGCTTCCACTCTCAAACATTAGAGTAGTCCAGAATGTCACAAAGAGTATTTGCAGTATTCCCACTAATGTAGGGTTCAAGCAAGATCACTAAGTTCGGTCGTTTGGTTTCGTGGACCATCTTCAAATATCGCGCAAAAGCTCTACTCCCTGCATCACTTACATTCCAGGACAAAACTTTGATAGAATTTGTATTTGACATAGACAAGAGATTAAAAAGAAAAAGGGGGATGGAGGAATCAAAAGGGAACGAGATCACCAATTAGACGGGTGGAATTGATGTTTGGGTCTCCCGAGAGGAAGACATTGAGCAGGCTGCTACCGGCGGTTCTTCCTTGTTCGACTTCATTGCCACAACATTTTCCCCCTTGCTACAGTCATTAATTTCCTCGAGATTGAGAGTGTCCGGGCGTGATTTTGTTTTACTTTTCTTCTCCTTCATCAGGGACCAAATTTGGAGCTGTTTGAGCAGATTTTGTTTCATCGGAGATCCCTTACGGGAATGGGATTTGGAGCTTTTGCTCTGCTTATGCCTTTCTCCCATCGTCGGCTGTTTGGGACTCGTGTGCGACAATGGTTTGAAGGAAGGTTATTGGGCCGAGATGTTGGTACCATTTGGCCCAGTCAAGGACTGAATGGGCATGTTGAAATCAGATTGCATGGAGACAGTGTCTTGGACAGCTAGCCCAATCTTTGACGTGTCGGGGGTAGATGCAGTAGATGGATCCTTGGTGACGTGTGAGGGTGAAGCTTCTATGGGGTCTCGAGATGGCTTGGGCCCAGAGTTGTTGGGGAGGAAGGGGTCGTGGCCCAGCAAGCCTTTAGAAGATGGTGGAGTAACAAAGCCTACATTTTCCTTACCTTTTCTAGCCTCTTATTTGCTCCTGCCAGCTACCAAGGTTTTATGCTCAGAAGCATTTGTCTGTTGGGAAGCCTGGAGAAAAGGAGAGGGCCGCCCACAAGCATCTCTACCCTTATTTCTTGCCAAGATACTCTTTCAATTTTTACTACTATTACCTTGATTCAGTTATCCCTCCTTCATTTCCTCCTTTCCTTTCCGATTGAGAAACCGATTATTCCGTCGGTTTTTTTGGTAACTATCATCCAGGTTTCGAAGCTTGCGCTGGGTTCCGTCACCATCTCGTCGGAGCTGTCCGAACCCAAAAATCTGGCCACCATCAAATTCTCGACTTGAGAGGGTAGCAGAGTTTTGGGCAGGAGGGTGATGAGTGACCAACTTTGTCGCACTCGAATCAAACCTCTGGGAGGTTTTCGTACTCGATCTTCTAGCATTCCCCATCGAGGTGAATTCTAAATATTAGGGTTTTTTATAGATTAATCTCCATAGAAATGCGTGCGAATTTGGCTCGTTGCTGATTCACTATGTGGCAGTCGAGCTTGATGGTACGCCCAATCAAATTTCCAATAGATATTAAGACCTCTTTGTGATAAAAATGTATCGGGAGGCTGGGAAGCTGGAGCCAGATGATCATCTTCTTCGGAAGAGGGTCAGAGATTCTGAAACTTGGAGTCCATTGGGGGACAACCACATAGTGATCGAAAATTGTCCACGGTCCATCAGTGAGAGCTTTGAAATAATCTTGATTGTTTTCCAGCTTCACCATGTAGCAATCTTGATCCAAATACCTCACTTCCATATGACCTGTCAGGCTCCATTGCGCACGGGGCCGTGAGCATAGAGTGGGAAAACCCACCTTAATCCCCAACAATCGAACAACAAGAGTTCTTTGTCAACAAACATAGAGTCTTTTCTTGAAGCCCGCTGAGATTTTTAAGGTCGGTTCCCCATTGAAATCTCCTGGTATGAGTTCATGTTCTCTAGCCAGAGTCCACTGGCTGCTTGGCGCTCTTGAATTGCCAAAGTTCTTTTTTCCGGAGGCCGCTGCAGCATAGAAAAGCCTCTATGACTTGTCACCATCAGGGAGATCTTGAGCATATTTACAAGGGCAGAAGCCGACGTGACCTCCATCTCCTGGTATGAGGTCTGGTGATGTCAACAGAAGAGAGGTATCGGAGGCCGACCCAGTGGGTTGGTCATCGATGTCGAGGATTGCTGGCGAGCATTTCAGAGTATCATTTCGGAAAGTGCGACCACTACTACTTTGTTTCATGTTTGTCACTTAAACTTTTTATTGAATTAATGATCAATTTAATTAAAATAATTTTTTTTGGTCACTGTCCATTAAATTTCGTTATACTCCATTATCCCTAGTGGCACAAAATCGATAAAGCATTCAAGCTCAAACCACAAGCAATCAATTGGTAATCAAAAGAAAGAGAAATTCATGAGGGGAACGAAAGAATCGAATGAATCTGGGTGGACTGACTCCATACAATACCAAAAGAATTCGTTAAATTTGGCGGAGATAAAGATTGAATAATAGAAATTGCTCCTCTCGCTCTAAGATATATGCTAATTACTTCATCTCATATTGCTTACTTAATTTAAAATCTTAGTCATTGTAAAATTGTAAGAAGGGAATGGACTTATGGAAGAGGAGGTAGGACTTGAAGGTCGAAGATGCTGGCATTGCTTTGCTGTTTGGACTAGAGCGTTTAGCTAGGTAATATGCTAGTGAAATCATCTATAAGGAATTCACCTTCACAGGGAAGAAGAGGAGTCCAGAGGAGAGGAATGAAGCAATTTAGCTATGGTGCTCATAGACATTTTTGTGATATACTCACATGCTGAGGATAGAGGCCATGGGGGCGGCACTCAGATCCAAGGGTTGGGGCTCAATGGCTCATTTAAGTGGATTTGGTGGCTTCTCGACTCAGAGCCAAACTAGCCGAGAAAACTAGCATCCAGAATTCAAAAACTAATATCCTAAATGCAATAACTAGTATTTAATGTCATCCACCAACTATTCTCACATGGGATAGAGAAAGCATCCCGGACTAATATTCAGCCCAATCCAGTATCTGCCTATGTTGAAGTAGTATCCATGTTTTGTTGAACACTTGGTAGCATTTTGTTTTAATGAACTAAATTCAATAGAGCACAAACTAAAATCTAGACGCACATGACTATATTCAACCAATCAATTGCCAACTAATAACCACAATCAAACCAACTAGAATTCAAAGTTTCTTAACTGATATCAATCAGTACACTTGGTAGCATTTCGATATCAAGCAGTATACATGAACTAGTAACCACTAAATGATGAAGTAGTATCCAAATATACATGAGGTGACAAACTAGTATCCAGAGAGCCTCACATTCACGAACTAATATCCAGACAACACAAAAGACTATCCATACTTCATAGAATTAGTATAAAAGCCAATCATTTACAAACTAATATCTACATTCAAAACAACTAGTATTCAAGGTTTGCTAAATGATATTCAACATGAAAACAATATGTATTCCACATTCACGAACTGATATCCAGATTACACAGAAGGGTATCCATATTGCATAGAACTAGTATTCAGACAAAAAATGCATTTACGACTGATATCCATGACATTAAATAGCAACAATCTACCAAAAAACTCCATAAAAGCCAAGAAACCAAAAAATCCATAAAGGCAAAAAATAAAAATAAAAAACCCATAAAGGTAAGAACAAAAAAAAAAGAATAGAACAATCGGCAGAGAGGAAAACCCAACCACAAGGAACAAAACCCGTAACATCATACCTTCATTAGAGTTCACTCCATGCTCCAAAGATCCAAAAATGAGCAAGACAAATAAGATCTAAATTCCTAGAGAAAAGGGAGAGTCGAATTTTCTAAATAAAAGTGACATAGAGGATTTCTCAAAACATAGGTTATTAGTATTTGAATTTTTTATGTTATTTTTGCATTTTGAATACTAGTTCTCTCGGTTGGCTTGACTCTCAACCAAAAAGCCACCAAAATCCACTTAAATGAGCACTTGCTTGAGCTATCGAGCTCCAGTCCTTGAATCTCAACTCCACCCACATGGCCCCCATTCTCACTATGTGAGTATATACTCACAATTTAACCTTTAAGCATATTAACTTTTTCGAGAAGGAGTATTGTCACGACCGTTTCTCTACGAATCGGAAAATTGGACGATTCGACAATGCAAGAAAATGAAAGCACACACATGACACGCAATTTACGTGGTTCACTAACACAATGTGTATTAGCTAATCCACATGTAGGAGAGAACCAGTTTCACTATACTTCGAGGTGATACAGATTATAGAGGAGTATGAGAAGTATTTATAGTACTTCTCCAAGGTCTAACCCTAATCCAATATGGTAAAGGAAAAGCAGTTAGAGACCAAGCCCATAACACGAACCCAAACAAAATGGTTTTTGGTCTTAAAAGTGGTTCGGTTAACCGATAAACGAGATAACCGAGAAACCGACCCCCTATTTTGGTCGGTTTTCGATAGAGAAGGTGGTTATTTCGGTTAATCGATAACCGGCCGATCGGTTACCGGTTATAACTGAAATAACCGAACTGCCACCCCTACAAACAACATTGAGCATATACAGCGTGGGCCAGGGGAGTTGCTCCCGTATTCACACCGGGACGTTGCCCCTTAACCTCACACGCTAATCGGACAACGAGACCCCGTGACTTTCAATCGTAGCGACTGATAGTCTAATTCAAATCAAATCAACATGTATTACTAGCCATTCTTTTTCAGTGGCCTTTTAGTTAGATCAACCAGTTCAGACAGAGAGAATCGGATCATGGGTGGGAGACTTCACTCATAGGGTTATATTATGTGCCTGGCAGGTTAAATTTGGGTGACTCTGTCCAACTTTGAAAATCCACGTGACCAAACGAATTCGTAAGCAGAAAGGGAACTCACGTCAGCTCGCTGTAAATCCGTCCGAAAGCATATACGAAAAAGTAGTTTAATTATTCATTGCCGTCAGAAAGAGAATAAATAAAAAAACGCATCTGTCAGTCGAAAATAGCAGAGGTCGCAGAACTAACTCGCAGAGAAAGGAGAGATTCTGATTCCGAGCTGAGAAAGCAAATTGTCTCGCACAGATCCGTCCACCCAAGGTAAGATGCGCGGCCGCGGCGGTGGCGGCAGAAGTGGCGGAAGGGGCGGCGCAGGGAACTACACGAATCCATGCTTGACTATGCACCAGCCTTGGGCTTCTCTCCTGGTCTACGGAATCAAACGCATCGAAGGCCGGTCGTGGCCGGCTCCCCTTCGCGGTAACTAAATTCAAATTCCTTCAGCTTCGTCGATTCCCAGACAGGAAAAAAGGTCCCAATATTTTGCTCTTATGAGTTTAGCACCGGAGCGGCGAGTGGCATCCATTTATTCCAGTTTGCGTTAAGAGAATGAAGTTTTACCAGCTGGAATACTTTGGCATTCTTCTGTATCTTTTTGGTCAATGAATGGATGTTGCTAATGGGTTTCTGAATCAATGATTGTTCAAACGTTTTCCAACTTCAATTGGGTCTCTTGAAGGCCGTCTGTGGATTCATGCTGCCAGTAAAGTTCCCGAGCAAGATACAATCAAAGCAATGGAAGAGTTCTACAAGGAAATCTATGCACTGAATGGCGTTACTGACATCAAGTTTCCAGAACATTACCCTGTTTCCAGACTCTTAGGTATCTAAGTGATAGCACTTTGTCATTTGTCCTTTTTAATTTCATGCTGATTGCTAGATTTTCACTTTCTGATTATGATATCGAGCTTCAATCTAATACATGATGTTAGCTATTAAGTTGAACTTGATATGATGCTCTTCCATAACCTAGACAACCTGAAAAAGATTCTCTTAGCTTTGTCGATGGCACTTGGAAATCCTAAGGGGGCACTTATTTCCCATTCTGGTTTAGGAATACGGATTCTTTGCATTTTGACTTACCTGCCTTGGGTGATTGAATGCAGAAATGTTTCCCCTTGGTCCAAGTGCAATACATTATCCGTTGTGACCCTCTTTAATGGAAATTTTTTTTAGTGAAATCTTAAGTAGAAATTTTGTTTTCTGGTGCTGTGGCTCCCATTCATAGGGTGCGTTGAGGTAGTTGGGTGTCTAAAACTGGACGAGCTGGCAAGCTGGGAGGCCATACCAGAAGGGGTAGGAACTCTTTCTTTTTTCTGTGAAAATTTTGTGTTCTTCTCTTTTCATCCTTAGATTGATTGTGCTTGCTGAACCCTCTGGTGTGACTATTTGACATAAATCCTTTTGTGACAGGTGAGGGTAGAAGGACAAACTGATTTTTGCTGGCTTTGTGAACAACCACAGGTACATAAATCTGAACTTATTGTTACATTCGTAAAGATTTCGGAGAAGTGCCTGATTACTTGTTTCTTCTTGCTAGAAATTGCTTATTCCATTCGAGATGAGAGGTTTTCAAGGTGTTTATAACCTGGAAAGGAAGGTAACTCTTATTAAATAAGTCTAAGCTTGTTAGCTTCTGCATCTATGCCTCTTGCGGAAAGTAAATTGCTGAACGTTTTCACAGATATATGAGTCTGCAGCTAGAGGCCTTGTCCCTGTGGAAGGTCCACTGCCTGTAAAATTTCCCCTTCCAAATCCAAGGGATCCTTATTCGTTGAGTCCTGGTTCTGTTAGCTCTCAGTCCACAGCAGGACACACAACTGAAGTCGAGAAGTCATCAAGTCTTGTTGTGGCCATTGCTTCCGCACGTGCAGCTGCTACACAGTTCAACAAGAAAGACCAAAATCATGCAATAACTACCGTTGAAAGCTCCGCTTCCACTAAGCAGTATGAATTGAGAAGCAAGTCTTCTGAACAGAGAAAGCTTTCACCAGTTAGCTTGCCTCATAATTGTGATGGGGAACCTTCTACGTCAAATGAGTCGAAACCTAACAATGACTGCAAGTCTGAGCAGAGTAGCAGACATAATAGGGTCACGGCAGGTTCGGAACAGCTCCCCAGAGCTTCCCCAAAGGTATATGAACTGTTCTTGTGTTTTTCATTAATCAGAGGAAGGAGGAAAAGAAGCAAAGAAATTAAAAAAGGAACCCATTTTTGTTTGTAGTTCTCTGAACTCCTAAGGTACTTGAACTGCATAGTCTCTAATTATATTGTGCCATGATTTGCAGCTTTTCGCAGCAGCAGTACGAGGGTTGAAGCCGTCATGACTGCAGTACCCTGAAAATAGAACATGACATTAGGAAGTCTTGGTGTAGGTCCTGTTTTACTAGGGTTCTGCCATGACCCAGAAGTCAGATTTGCGTTTGCCTTAGCTGATTGAAAGATCACAAAGCTGTGCAGAAAAGAGAGCAAATAACCGGAAGCCTTGTTTTAGACCCGTTGCAGAATTGTGTTATGGTCCATAAATAAAAGAACAATTTGTACAGCTAGTGGATTCAGGAGACATCTTCTTTTCTTAACCCAGTATTTAGTTTAGTGCAGTTTTCGCTTTAGATGGAAGGGTATTGTTGTTATTCGATGCTATTTAGTTCCAGTCAATAATTGCCGTCGCAGTAATCCTGATGTACTGACAACTGAGGAATGATGTTTCAACCTGTTTCAAGTGAAATTAAGGATTAAAAAACATGGTTGGTGGTAACAAACCAATTTGATATGTTATATTCATACATTGTGATCCCCAAATTCAATCAACCAGTTGGCCTAGATTTGTAGCTGTATTTAGGGGTGGACAATGGGTTGGTCCATATCGGATACACCGGACCTAATCGATGTTTGGATCGGACCACACTGAATCGAATATAATATGGTCCGGTCCTTGGTCCTATGAATTTTAAAAATACTGAAGAAAAATTGTTCGAATTTACGTTTGGACGACACCAAATGGACCAAAACGGACCGAATGCACTATTGATCCGGTCCTTGATCCTAAAATATCTTTCACTATTGGACCGTGGTTCTCCTGAATTTGGTCCGATCCATTCCGTTCCGCACCAGACCGATGCCCACTTCTAGCTGTATTTGTATACGTTTACCATTTGTTTAAGACCAAAGAGAAAAAGAATTTGTAAATTTTTATCAAACAATTGATTTGTTTAAGAACAAATGTGAGCGAAATGATAAGGTGAAAGTATAATCATTGACTACAATTTTTTCCTTTTTTACAGCAACATTAGTTTATTAATAATAAAAACCAATTGAAGGTTACATATAAAGGGCAAAGTCCCATGAAAGTACAACAAAGAAGTAACAAAAGAGTTGTAGTCCAACAAAAAAGTTCATAAAGCTGATCAAACAACCTAGAAAAAGCAGCAGAAATCCTAATGCTAGTTTTCATCCCAACGCATGTACACAAAGCCGACGTCAAAGATCCAGAGAAGATAACGTTTCCACCGACACCAGAAACAGAATGACAGAGCACAAGCAAACCGCCTGAAGCCTGTAAGGGGAGACGACAAGAGCACACACACCAATAGAGATGAAGTACCCTCGAGGAACCAAACCATTTGAGGAGGCCAGAACACAAACTCGAACAGGATCATCCAAGCAGCGCACTCTAGAACAAGTGGCCAGTGGTGTGACTCCCGTGTAGGTTATTAATCCGTTTGCACGGCTTGTATTAACTAACCCATCTTGAGCCAAGTATAACTCAAGAAGTAGTATTCCACGAATTTTGATATCTTAGACAACTTCTCACTTTGTTGTTATCTAGTCGTTCGATTTAGGGTTGTTTTGGAGGTCAAATGGAAAGTACTGGTGGAGAAAGCAAAAATAAAAGCTGGTACATCGGGGTACCACCCTCGCCATAGATCTAGGTTTATCATGCAAATAGTTTGTAATGTCAGGTTTAAGGTAATAAGGTGTGAGGCTCACTAAAGTGGGGACTAGCTCAATGGTCGTGCAACTAGTCCCCCTCCTAGCACGATTCCTTGACCAATTGTAACCTCAATCAAGTTCAGGATGTTAGGGATGCATTCTAGACCCTTTCAATAGGTTCAACCTATTTGCACAATAGCTCGACGTGTTGATGGTCACGCACGCATCGCTCTAGCATTGCTTAGGAGGGCTACCCGATTTAGGAATAGCAATGGGGCAGGTCTGGGGCGGGTATCCCCGTGGCAGGTCAGGTAATTTATCATGGACTGCGTGCTGGGGCAGTTCGACCGATTGGGTATATAATTGATGTGAATAACATTAAAAATATCCATTATTTTCCTTAAAAGACCAAGAAAGAAATCATAATATGATAAAATGTAGTTAAATTATTGTAGTTGTTGCGGTCCAAGAAGAGGTGTCGGGCAAATTAATTCCTCCACTTCGTGACCGTCGTGGTATGAAAGGTAAGAGGAGAATCCCTTTGATTCCTCTTGTAGACACCACATTTTGTTCGGGGCAAGAAGTGTACTTAAACTAAAAAAAATTATAACGATGAATTAAATAGAATGCTTTGAAGGATTTGGTTGAGATTAGCAGTGACTAGTCAATAAGTACCAATGACTCCAAACTTCAGTCTTATTTAGTTCTAAAATCAAATTGATCAGGATTGTCAGTGACGCTAATGATTACTGACTCACTTCTACTGTCACCCTAGGAATTGGCCAAGTGTAACCACTTCCTAAAGCGTAGTATAGCGGGTTTAGGTTTAATTATCAACCTGGGTCCTAGATTTGATGACTACTCAGTGAATTCTTGTTATCTAGCAATGAAACTTTAATGCAAGTCCAAACTAACAAACTAACAAAGCAAGTAAACTGCTGTATTCAGGTTAAGAGAGGTCACCCGGATATGGTTCCCCCTAGACTGCAGTTAAGCCGGATTGCAATTACCAAGTTCAGTTTCTATGATAGTTATACTGCGGAAGGTTCTTAAACAGCCTGAAGTCTCGACTAAAGGTCTTCAGACCCTCTCAATCTGAGTCTCTAGCGGGCGACTAACCTCCATCGGAGTAAACAGATTGAGGCCTTAACAAACAAAACCTCCACTACCGGAGTAAATCCGGTACAGAATAGTGAGTTGGCTCCTCGACTAAAGTCACCAACTCCCTACCTTCAATCAAGGATGCTCTATCAACCTAGGCAGATATTCTCATTCTAAGTCAAAGCAGAAACAACCGGAATTTGATCAGGATTCAAGTCATTCAATCATTCAAACCTCAATCGAATATAATCAAATCATAGAATCAGTACTTGGGTTCATACAATCAAAGCCTAACATACAAATCTAGGGTTCTCCATACCTAGATGAATGGGAGAACTACTCCATGGAGAAAGAAGCAAAAGCAGAATCAGACGCGGAATTCATACTGTGAAGGATGGATTCCTGCTCCTGGACTTTGATCGGCACTCCTCCAAGCTCAAACTGGCCTCCAATGGTGATGAAGATCAAGCTAGGGCACTTGGAGACTCTTGTTCGTCGCTTTCTCTCTCCAGGAATCGCTCTGTCTCTCTAAAACTCGAATCCCCTCGACTTGTGGCTGAAAATCTGCTTAAAAGCAGAAAATCCCGACTCGCACGGGCAGGGCGCACGGCCGTGTGGCTCACCTAGTTGCCCGTGCGGCTCCAAACGCAGCGTATCGATTAGTTGAATTCCAGGCTTCTTACACGGCCAGGGTCGCACGGCCGTGTGGCTCACCTAGCCTGGCCGTGCGAAGCCTCGCAGAATTCCACACGGCCAAACTGGTCACTTGCACGACCGTGTGGATTATCTGCTCTGCCCGTGTTTGCTCTCGCACAATCCCACACGGCCAAACTGGTCACTTGCACGGCCGTGCGGGTTGTGGGTGTGCCCGTGCGACTTCCTTTGTGACTTGCCTCACGCCCGATCTTCGCCCAATCGACCCCGAACTCGCTCCTAAACCTTCATTCACTTGCCTGGACCTGAACTATCACAAACAAGCACAACCTAGCGTGAAATCGGTCTAAAACACGAGAAACCACATCTTAAACGGTGTAAGAACAGGGGTGAAAACATGTGTAATTAACGGTCTATCAAACTCCCCCACACTTAACCGTTTTCTTGTCCCCAAGCAAACCTAACTCAAACCAATGCAACTCTCTAGACCTCTATAGCAACAAACACCCCAGATCGTAGGTAGAGGACTTCCTAGATCATTTAGCAGCTTACGAGGTCAACCGACGCACAAGTCATCTCATAGCTTCTTCGGCGAGAACGCTAGTATCGAGTCAGCATCATGGCAAATAGTGAACAGAGGACAAATGAATTGTGGATGAAGAGATTCTCAAAAACAAAGGATCATGGACTCACATTTTTCAAGGTGCTCTATTTTCTTCTTGAAGATGGTTGGAACCCCTTTTCTTTCTGTTTTGCTTGTTTTCTGTTATTTTTTTTTTCAAGGGTCCCAACCTGCTCTTACCGGCCATGCCAGGAGCGGATGTCTCGAGCCTCGTGCGGGGGAAGGACATGTAAGGGGGCTGGAGGTAGTAGGTGGAAATTGGGAACGAATTCCCGTCTCCCCTTACACACTTTCCCCCTATTCGCACGGGAGACGTTATTTTGAAGCACATTTTCGAGCACCTGTTATTTTCAAGACATGATACAAGAGTCCATGACAGGTAGAGAATCCACAACACCACACCAATCAAGGGTCCTAAGATCACTAATTCACTCAATCAACCAACGCAATATGAAGAAGAAATGAGATTTCTTAAATGCATCAACATCCTCCATAGTGCTACACTACCTCCCTAGGTTGCATATTACTATAGAGACTGTCAATTCAAAGCATACTGAGCAGGCAATTGCACGGAAACATGTACTTGGAGCCCTCAAATTTAAAAATTTGGACAGTGGACTAGGCTCCAAGCACACAAACAGATCTAATGCAGTCAAAAGATAAACATCCCCCCACACTTAAGATCGACATTGCCCTCAATGGAGAAGAGGGAAGGAAAAGGGGAACGATGTTACCGGTATACACGGACTGCAGGAGACTGGAAACGGGCCAGTCGAGTGAAGCGGACTGGAGAGAGACCAGTCTGGAACAAACCACAGCTAAAGGGGAACAGAAGAGCTCAAACACAATAAGTTAGGTCCAATGTCAGCCCAATAAGACATCATTCAAAACAAAAGAAAACAAACCAGAACCAAACCGGTTTACAATCCGACTCAAAACACAAGAAAGAAAATCAAACCGTGGTGGGGTTGCCTCCCCACAAGCGCTTCTTTACCGTCTTTTAGTTGGACGCCAATTGCGGAACTAAGGGTCCGCGAGCTCCACTGCTAACTCCGCACGTTCGACCTCGTCTTCCAGGTAGAGCTTGAGACGATGGCCATTCACTTTAAACGGCTCAGTTTGCGGGTTAGCAATTTCAATGGTGCCATACGGGAACACCTGTGTGACCGTGTACGGTCCAGACCACCTGGAACGGAGTTTTCCGGGAAAGAGCTTCAGGCGAGAGTTATAAAGGAGAACTCGATCACCAACCTGGAACTCTTTCGGACCCCGCAACCATGCATCGTGCAGGCGCTTAGTGCACTCCTTGTACAGCTTGGTGTTTTCATAGGCGTGATAACGCCACTCTTCCAGCTCCAACATCTGCATTTTTCGCTCAACACCTGCAACACGAACATCCAAGTTTAGCAGCTTAAGGGCCCAGAAGGCCTTGTGCT